GTCCATCTGTATCTCCCTGCTTGTTTTCCTCTCTTCTCCTGTTTGCACCGGTCCTGTGGCCAGGACACCCTGGCATGAACTGCTTATTGCTCAATCATCTTGATGATGGATTTCTGCTTCTTAAGGACAATGTAACCTTTGTGAAGCCAGGCACTAAGCTTTATGCATCCCATGTATTCAACAGGCACACAACAGTAGGCAAATGTTAGGAGTGCTCCAGACCTGTTTGAAGGATGATTGAAGTTTAACAGACTAATCAGAGCCATCAAGGAAGGAGCTGGAAGCCCAGAACGACACTTTCCCAGAAGTGCCATTCCTCAACCCAGAGCGGATGTTTTCCAACAGAGTGGTCACAAGCACGTTTCCCTACCACCTCAGGTCTTTGTTCCTTATCTATAAAACCAGAGGGCTCCACAGACAATTTCTAAGGTGTCTGCTTGTATTAAAACTACCAGCTGAATCCCATTCTCATCCATGTTGACCTAGATCAACATCCCAGCAAAAACATTTCTTCATTAGGGATGCCTTTTCCTTTTAAGCATTTGCCGCCACCTTTGGACATACTCTGTGAACAAAACTGTCCTTGGATGGCTCCTGGAATAGTGACGGTAGCTAGCACTGATGAGGCCCCTGGCGTGTATCTGTTCTCCTTCCGGTACTTGTACAATGTAGGGTCCAGCATCCTCCTTACAAAGAGCATTGTATGCGGAGCATCTGAAGAGAAATTCCAGGGCAGTCTTGGGCTCAAGCCGCGGTTCTACCACTTAATGACTTGGGCCGGTTACTTTACCTAAGCCTCAAGTCCCCAACTGTAAGAGAAGAATACCACTTACCTGCTGTGCTTGTGGTGGGAATGACTGTGATAAGACATCTACAGTGGTCAACACCATGGTTGCCAACAGCAGCGTCTCAATAAATACCTGATTTTCTCTTGAACGTTCAGAAGGTTTAGGGAGGGGAGGGAGGGGAGGAAGAGGCCATAAAAAGAGGTGAGTGCATCATGTGCATGTCCCAGCAGCAAATGTGTACTATTGAAAATAAAAATTTTCAAAAGATTAGGGAAGGCACCCTGAAAACTTGGGATAAAAGTGCCCCCACACAGCACGGCTGTAGAGATTAATTATTAAACTTGGACCACAGGGCCAAGCACACAGGATGACTGCTCACAGCCCCTCTTGGAAATAGCTTCCCCACGCTGGAATGAAAAGGCCAGTTCTTTTCAATTCAGCACCTTTTCTAAGAACCAGGTGCTACATGGGGTCTCAGAAACATTTGGGAAAATAACTTGGTTTTTGCTAATTTAAATTTTCAGTTTGGCGCCAGACTTTTGTAAGGCACTTTGGTAGATACAGTGCAAAGTCCCTGCGGTGAGCGCTGCTGGAGGCAGACTGGGGAGATTTCTTATGCGTGCAGGAGGTGACAGGCTGAGGATCTCAGTCAGTGCGGAGCAGGGCCAAGGCGACCGACAGGTTATCTTAGGGGAGATGGGCGTGGCAGCCGCATCTCCTGGTGCCATCTTCATGGAGGGGGATTGGCCCAATGGCTGGGATGGGCAGACGGGAGGGAACATGATTCCTGACCATCTTGCAGAACTCAGGAGTGCATGGCTGGCGGGCTGACTGCTGCTTGATCCTCTCTTGCCAGGCTCTTTCCACCTCATCCACCTGATGTTCGACGACTACGTGCTGTACCTGCTGGAGTCGCTGCACTGTCAGGAGCGTGCCAACGAGCTCATGCGGGCCATGAAGGGCGAAGGCGGCAGTGGTAAGCTGGCCTGGGGTGCTGTGGGCTGGGTGTGCCCTGCTCCCTCGCCTCTAGCTGCCTGTGCATCCCGACCCTCGGTTACAGTGAGCGGCCCAGCCGGCCGGCCCTGAGGCCAGCAGGCTTCCTCCTCCTGGGGTAGGTGTGTGCGCGTCTGGGACTGGCCTTAAATGCCTCGGTGGTGGGAATCATCACAGGCTTTCAGGCAGGGGAGCAGCTGACCACACAGATTACAAAATGACTTTCACTGTTCCTTAAAGAAACCTGCCTCGACACTGGGCTCCAAGAATTCGCCTTTTCTCTCTTGGCAGCGGAAGTTGGTGAAGAGGTCATCCTGACCGAGGCCGCCCCACCAACCCCTTCACCAGTGCCATCGTTTTCCCCCTCAAAATCTGCCACGTCTGTGGAGGTGCCGCCTCCCTCGTCCCCTGTCAGCAACCCGTCCCCCGAGTACACCGGGCTCAGCACTACAGGTAATGAGAGCTCCCCCAGAGTTTCAGGGACAGGGGAGGGATGCTGAAAGGGACGGCTTTCTGGGAAAATACTCCTCCTCACAAGGCAATGCCAGAACTTAGGCATCTCCCTGGAGTTTTGGAGCGCCTGCGGGCATCGGTTTACCCCTTGGTACATCTTCCATGGGCTGTTTTCAAGTTGGCAAATTGTGCATATGATAAAAAGCTCCACTCCCAAAACTATGCCAATGACATGATAAAAATGATATAAAAATGATTTAGCACACAGCCATTCTTGAGAAGAGGGAGGGCACTCTCTATGAAGCAAAAGCTGAGTGGTACCTGCAGGAAGGGGCAGGTAGGGAGCTGTATGCGAGGCCACAACTACTAGACCTGCATGAGCAAGGGGCTGTGAGCAGAGCTAGTCAGGAGCCAGGGGAGGCTGTTGCTCCCGGAGACCTGCACAGCCCAGGAGGTGCACAGAGCTCTTGTAAGACTGGTTCGTTGCCAAGGCTCACCCAAGCCTGGGCGCATGTCCAGAAGAACTGGAAGTAGGGACCTCCGCAGATACTGTGTCAATGCTCACAGCATCATTGTTTACAGTAACCGGAAGGGAGGAGGGACACAAGTGACCACTGATGGGTGGATGGATGAACAAAATGTGGCATACACACACCGTGGGATGGTACTCTTCAGTCCTAAAAATGAGCAGCACTCCAACATGCTGCAGCATGAATGAACCTTGAAGGGAAATAAGCCAGACACAAAAGGGCAAACATTCCAGGATTCCACTTGCACAAGGACCCTCGATGAGTCAAATTCATAGAGATGTGGAGCAGAATGGCCAGGGCTGGAGTCCAGGGCCGTGGGGCCAGAGTTTCACTTTGGGAATATGAAGAATCCTGGTGCCGGATGGCGGAGGTTGCAAACACAGCACCTGTACTTACTGCCCGCGAGGTGTACACTCAAAATGGCAGGAATGGCGGATTTTAGGTTGCGAGTATTTTACCACAATAAAAAAGATCACCAGGGCCGGGTATTTAGCTCAGTGGTTCCACCGCCTGCCTCGTCCCGAGGTCCCGAGTTCGATCCCTAGTACCAAAAAAAAAATCACCAAAGTGTGGGTGGAAGCCCCACCCCATCAAAGATCAACTGCAGACTAAGGGAGAATTTATATCCAATGGAACGCAGTCAACATCCAGGATGGCCTAAGAAGAGCTGTTAGGGTGAGAACTGAAAGAGGAAACCATACCCACTAGTCAGCTACAAATTTCAAAAAGAAGTATATAATTGTCAAAATAAAAGTTTCAACAGGTAGATAGAACAGAAAACCAGATCCAGCTGAGAGAAAATCAGCTCATGGATAGACTGAACTGAGGAATTCTCCAACAATGTGACACAAAGAGACAAAGAAATATTAAATATGAAATTGCTGATACATCCAGAAATTCCAACATTTATTTAATAAACATTTAATAAGTGTTCCAGAGAAAGAACAGAGAGTAGAGAAGTGATGGCTGGAAGTTTGATAGAATGGAAAAGGACGAGACTCCTGACTGAAAGCTTCCAGTGAATTCTGTGCTGAATAATAGCGGGGAGGGACCGTACCTCTATACTCAGTAAAGGAAATTGGAGAAAAATCTTACTAGCTCCCCCAAAGAAAATGCAGATAACCTCCAAAGGAGAGAAAAAGAGACTTGTATCAGACTTCTCATCGTCAATATTAGATTTGATTTCTGAAACAGTATTTTTAAAGTGCAAAAAAAACCACTCCTGTGTTTGAACCTTGAATCCAGAACCGTATTCACAGAAACATATATGTGATTGTATGTGTATGCATGTATGTATGTGCATAGAGACTTTCCCTTTAGGACTTTTAATATGCCAGGTTCTGTGCTGGTACTATGGGAAATCATAATTACTATGCCAAGGTTTTGCTACCACAAGCATGCAAGGTGTGGACTCATTCTGCGGGGCTCCACCGGAAGGAGAGAAGCTTTCTGTGTGGCGGGGTCAGAAGAGACCTCAGAAAGACTCCAGGCTTTGGGAGTGGAGGGGGAGCAATAACCAGTTCATTCTTTGGCCATCTAAACCTGCTCTATTATCTTGCCATTGCCGGGCACCAGGCCTGGGAGTGGCCTTCCTGTCTGTCTTCTCCCTCAGCTCCTGGACAGTTGGGACAGGCTCAGGTGCTGTTACACGGGGACACAAATACGTACGGAGTTACCGCAGACGGATCCTTTGTGCTGATAGCAGCGCTGACGGGGTCTTCTGTCCCAGCGCAGACTCTGGTTAATGCAGCCATTTGGAAACGCATGTTCTCTTGTAGTGGGCTCCATGCCCAGTGGGGTGGCTCTCCAAGCCTGACCCACAGACCCCTTGAAAAGCCCCTAGCTGGAGCCTCTCACCAGGGGGAGGGTCACTGCCTTGGGAAGCAGAGCAGGAAAGAGGAAGAGGAAATCCACTCTCCTTCGGCCCCCATCAGCGAGGAGGTCACACGTCCCCTGCAAGGGAGGCTGGGAAATGCAGGCAAGTGGCACCCAGGTCGGGCAGGGGAGCAGATCCAGGGCACATGGCTGGTGCCTGCACCACACCTCCCAGGTCTAGCTGGCCCGACACAAGTCTAGATGGTGGGTCCTTCCCCCACTCGTGCTTCTTGGCCCAGGCTCTCCCCAGCCCTCAGGGACATCCAGGGTGACACGAGCTGGTGACCCGCTGCACACACTGCCCACAAGGCAGGCTTGGGTGAAGCTCAGGCCCCCTAACGTGCCAGGGCAAAGAAACCACGAGCTCACCAGCGAGCCTTAAAGAGCTCCCACTCTCCAGATTTCTCCTTGCTGAGCTGCACCCTCCTGCCACCCGCCACTGAGAAAATGAGGTCCGTCTCCATCTCCCGGAACAGTTCCCTTGACCCCAAGGGAGCCTCGTCCTCCAGGCCTCACAGCACGGTCTTAGCTCCATCCCAGTCCTACTCAGAGTCCACTGGGAATGAATGAGCAGTCAGACTCCCCACTCAGAGCGCTGTCTTTCTATCATCCATTCATTCATTCCCTCACACAGCCATCCATTTGTCCAACAAATAGTCCTCGGTTCTTGAGCAGCTTCGGGTTTGCGCCCTGGTGTATTTGTTTACATAGATGCATCTGCAATCATATTTTGCTTTCTTCTTTGGGATGGATGAAGGGGACAGATTCTCTTGCCTCCCCCATCCCTGTTTTCTCTTCATAGTGGGTTGTAGTTCCCACTGAGAAGGCGCAGGAAGAGGAATTGTACAGAAAAGAACAGCCTTGCTCACTGAAAACAAAAAGGGAAGAGAATCTGAGCACTGTGTGCAACTCTTCAGCCACCCAGAGGCTCTTCCAAGCTTGGAACTATTGGGTCACCATCTCCCGGGTCTGCTGCTTCCTTCAGGAAGGAGTGGGGACAGTAAGATCAGCCAGGAGTCACTTCCCGGGATAATCCTGCCCGTGTGTCCCTGCCAACATAGGGAGATGCACGTGAGTGCTAGTGATGGCATCCTTACTTCTGAGGTAAACAGGGAATTGTGCAAAGAAGACAGCCCTGCGTGATAAAGCAGAGACAGTGTGAGGGAGACGTTTCCTCATAATTTAGCAATGTACTGAACAAGGAAACCCTAGGAAGCAAGAGGATGGGAAGGGCGTGAGGGACAGACTTCTAGGGGCTCCTCACAATTCCCATCCATCTGGTGAGTCTGCCTGGCTTTCTCCAGAGCAATTTGGAGGACCCATGATGTGGCAGGTGCGATCCTAGTCAAGGCCACAGGAACAGCATTACGGTGTGTCCAGAGATTCTTGGGCAATGTGTTCAAGAGTCATAAAGGAGCTTCTTAGAAATATAAATGTAAAACAGGTTCTCTTCAGATGATGGTAAGCTTTGAAGATTTTAGCACATTCCAGCTTTGTTCTCAGATATCTCCAGGGGGCATTAAAAACGTCATCCTGTATAAAACTATGCATAACATTTTTCTCAAGTACCGCTCTTGAAATATTCAGTTGCTCAATTAGGCTGGACCGTGGCATGCAGCAGGCCACAGTTCTGGAGGTAATGCACATAATTCCCTAACAGCGTGTATAGTTTGACCAACATATTCTATTTTAAAGCACAAATTTTTATCCATGATGTATGCCTAAAACTAGAAAATTTATGACGATAGGCTCCCTAAGTTTAGGAACTTGTGCATACTTTCATTGAACAGTATTGTAAGTTGGAAAATGATTATGTGAATCTTATAAAATGCATCTGCCATGTCTGCTCTTTTAAAGTTACCTCAGCACATGGTTTTCATGTCATGAATTTTATTTCTATTTTTAAATAATTAGTTGATTTATGTCCCACCTACTTTCCAAAAAGTTTCTGAAGTAGTTTACAATACAAACAAGAAAGCCAATCTTTAAAAAAGATTCCAAACTGGGAACCAAGCAAGAGAGAAAAGGTGAGGGAAAAGTGAACAAAACAAAACAACTCTTGGCTGAAAAGTTGTTTCAAAGCTGAAGTGAAATTTGGTGTGGCCTCCCTCCTTTGCTGGGTTCCTACTCTGAGTCTCACTGACTCCTGGGTTATCAGGCTGGACTGCCGGGCGTCAAGGCCAACCGCAGCAACTCTCCCGCACATCAGCCTCTTGCTGCGGGTGGACACTTCCTCATTTCTCAGCTATGAGAAAGAGAACAGTATCGGGCCTGCCTGGTGAGCTCCAAGTGAAAATGAGCAGAGTGCCTGAAAATGAGCCTTCGGATGCTCTTTGATACCAGCACTGGGAATCCAGGGCAGTGCAGATAATGGGTTGTGACTCACTAGGAAAACAGCTGCTCTGCTGATATCTATGTCTACTTCCATGTCCACGCTCACACACGTTTCCAAACATGATTGATTGTTTTGAAAGGGGGAGGAGTCCGAAAGGGAAGGGCATAGCGGATAAATATCAGGAATTGAACCCAATATGTGGCCAGTGTGGGCAGCACCCTAAGACACTGCTTCGATGACTGCTTCTGAACAGGTGTCTG